CCGTGCCCTGCGTCTCAACAATAAATTGAGACAGTTGAGAAATTATTTACATTTTATGTGCGCCAAATTGATTTGTTGGTTAGTTTACAACCATGTTATAGACGAGGGAATTGTTTGACTTGCAGTTGAATGCACTGGAAAATGTTTTAGAAATGCTTGTTAGGAAATTTGAAATGTTTGCATACATTTTTAGGTAAAGTTGAGGCAGACAGCAGCTGGCTGGCTGTCTCGCTCCCTACCTTCCTCTGTCTCTCTCTCTCTCTCTCTCTCTCTTACTCTTGCTGCTGCCCAATCGATAAACTTAATGAGCCATGAGCGCACCGGGCACAGAGACAAACATTTATTTTAAAATTAACTGCCATGAACAAGTTGCACAGAAATAACTCATACGCCACATTGTGCAAACAAAATTTACGTAAAACCCTGCTTCGCCCCGCCATTATTTTAATGTGCTCCGAATGCAAGTGTAATTTGGCTGAGTGCAAGTCGCGTTATGATTGATATGATAGCGGTGCACTGAAACCCTAACAAATTGCAGCTGTTGCAGATATTTTGTGGCTCTCTCTTTGTTTTCTGTCTTTCAACTGGTTAAGAATTCGTCATTATGTTTTTATGTGAAACACATTTCTGTGTGATATGTAGGTCAGCTACTTGGGGCCTGTGCGGCGCATACTTTATTTTGTTATGCCTAGCTGAAGGTGTAATATGTATATATATAAAGCATAGAAGTAAAAGGTACTTAATGTAATTGACGCACAGTCATGTGTAAAAAAAAAAAAAAAAAAAAAAAAAAAAACAACGAGCAAGGAAATAACAACACAATTTTCCATGAAATGCTAACATTTAGTGACAACACTCACAAGCACACACACACACATGCACACACAGATACATTTCTAACACACCCATTAAATACACAGCAACAACATAAAGCATAAATACGCTGCGTATTTAATGTGCGTGTTATACTGGATGAACTGAGTGCCGCCAAGGCACCCCACAAATAGAAAGAGAGAGAGAGAGAGAGAGAAAAAAAAGGAACAGGATGGGCGTCACTCATGTCATGCTCGAGTTATCAAAACCAAAAAGTACTTCAATTAATCACAGGAAATTCGTCAATTATTCAACACTTGACAATGACTCAAGCAAATATTGTACACAATATGCAAATTGCATTCAGCTTTTGTGGTCAAATACCCTGTGTGTGTGCGTTGCGAGCTGACATCGTTGTAGGCATTTTGATTGCGGAAAATATATGTAAACGTTGCACAAAGTGGGATGATTTGGTATATTATATACCGTATATATGTATGACCAAGTTTCTTCTTTTTTTTGTATATAATAGAATTCATTTTGTGATGTTCAACTTTTTTCTTTTTTATATGTTTCACTAAAGATATGATATATGAATTTTCAAGCTCTTCCCATATTTATTTATTTATCATTTTATATATATTGAAATACTTTTCATAACGTGTTGGCTTAGGCTTGAATTTTGTATATATTCAATTTTTTTTTTTATATTAATAAACTTGTTGAAAATAACTAAAAAAGTGAAAAAAAAAAAAAATGAAAAAAGGAATAGCAATTTTTGAAATATTCTAAGTGTTATAAAATGATCATTATGAAAAAAGCGCTATAATCTTTATTGAAAATATTTAATATACATTTACATATACTTGAATTGCTTATTGTTTTGTACAAGACAGATTGCAAAAAAAAAAATACATATCATCATAAGAAAAATTGCTACAATTTGAGGTATATTTAATATTTATTTATATTAAATTCAGTATAATGTTAAATTTTTATTTTTGCTTCATATAATTCTGGTTCTATCCTATTTTATTATCATATCATTTTTACAGAGAACGCATATACAAATATATAAAATGTTTTTGTTTATATATGGTAGTAAATCCAATCCAATCAGTCAGCTATTTAATTGCTTATATTGTAGATTTCTTAAATTAGATTAGAAGTTAATGATTAGGAAATTTCTATAAATACAGGCATGACTAATTATGCAGTCAATAAGAAAATTGAGCGTTAAACAACAATCGTGGCAAAGATAATTAGAAAAACATTGAAAATGTAAATTGAATTTGCTAAGGAATGGAATAGTTAGTTAATTGTTCTACATAAATAACACCTTTCCAAATAAAACGTTCTACGCATTTCTATTTCCACTCAAACACGACCTTCTCTTGAGTTCTCCCATTGTTAGTGATGCGAGTTACTTGGGGTCGAGGCGTTTTCAAGTTTGTGACTTTTTAATTGGTTAAGCTCAAAAAGATTTGGCTAAAAAAAATATGCATGGGGCAGTTGCCAATCGATACGTGACTTTGTTGAGGCAGGGTCAGCCGGCGATTACAAGTTGTATGTACATTTCGTGTTGTTGTTGTTGTTGGTTTTTAATTGAAAAGGTCGCCTGACACAGGAGGCTGCTCTCGAGGGTTGACTAAATGCCAATAAATTGCAGCTGCTTGAGACAGCAAATTTAAATTGAATATAAAGAAAATAGCCAGCAGGCCGCAGGCAGCAGGCACAAGTTAAAGCGCTTACTCCTTGCCCAGTTGTGGCCGTTGGCTCTCTAGAGCTTAAACAGGATCCAAGCCGTAAGCCAAAAGCCATTAGGTTCAAGACAAAACCACAAAATGTTGCTTAGCCATTTAAGCAGCTGCTATTGACTACGTCGCCGTCTTTGTCTCTGTCTCCATCTTCCACTTCCTCTTCATCTTCATCCTGGCGTCTCACATCTTGGACAAATTGTACGCAGTCGGTGGCATTTGCGTTTTGATTTGATGCTCGACCGTTTGCCAGTACTTTAGTCATTTATCAATATGTCACTTAGTTGCTCTCGTTTGTTTCCAAGTGCTCCTTGGGATCACGTCTGATGACTTTGACTTTGACATTTGCGCCACACAGCAAATTCGCTGAGTGTCAAAAATCAAGAATCAAATCAAATAATTTGCATTGTCATCTTGGCCGGCGTCAAATTGTCTGCATTACGTGCCCTGTTTAGCACCAAAAGACGTTGCTGCAGACGATCTTTCATATATACATATATATATGTATATATGCCTTCCACTGTTTGCAAAAATATAAAATATTGTTTGCAGCAACTTAAATATTTATGATGCTTAACTTATTTATGACGTTATAAATATTTGACACACATTTTTCACATTCCTCTGGAGTAAATGACAGCTCTTGAAGGCCGCTTGTATAGAATGCTATTATATTTTAATGTAAGAAACTCATTAGGGTCAGGCATAGAGGTCCTTAATGTTTGAGAATAGTTGAACAAGAATTAATAAATGTAATTTTTAAAGTTTTCTTTCAAGTAATATAATATTGAAAATATACATAAATATATATACACAACAT